AACATCGGTAAGTTATGAAATCTGGAGTCATAGATAGATAGATAGATAGATAGATAGATAGCCTCTCACTGATCTATCGCTACTCTCATGGAAAGTGGTCGGACTAACCTCATTTCTTGGTTCCGTCAGGTTTAAATTTCATGGCTAGGGCTTGCCATGCCATTTATATTGTAGCAAACCAAACAACATCAGCGTCTTCTCGCGAACTACTGTTCTTTGGAACCGACTCTCAAGCTGATGTTTCCACGATAACTACAATCTTATCTGTTCAAGACTAACGGCGATCTTCCTGTTTTATCCGTATAAACTGTTTCTTAATATAACCCACTATCTTGAGTGGCCAGCTTTGGACAGGATGAACCTCAATGTAAAAAAAAGAAGATAAAAACAATGTACATATATAGATACATAAGTCATAGATAAGTAAATAGATAATGAAATACTGAGATAGACACATCTGAACACATTAATATATATATATATATATATATATATATATGTGTGTGTGTGTGTGTGTGTGTGTGTGTGTGTGTGAAAAGAATTAGATAGTTAAATGATAGATAGATAGATAAATAGAAATCAAATATGTAGATACTTAATTGAAATAAATAAGTCATATATATACATACAGTGAGAGTGAGAGAGATAGAGAGCGAGAGAGAGAAAGCTAGCAAGATAGACAGATGGAAAACAAATAGATACTTAACTGAAACTGATAGCGATAAGTCACAGATAGAAAGATAGACAAACAGACAGATATATATATATATATATATATATATATATATATATATAGATAGATAGATAGATAGATAGATAGATAATAATGCAATATTGAGATAGATCTGAATAAGGATATATATATATATATATATATATATATATATATATATATATATATATATATATATAAATCTGTATGTGTGTGTGAGAGTGTGTGTGTGAAAAGGGATAGATAGATAGATAGATAGATAGATAGATAGATAGATAGATAGATAGATAGATAGATAGATGGAAATAGGTAGATAATTGAAACAAATGTCATATATATATAGATAGAGTGAGAGAGAGAGAGAAAGAAATGGCTAGCTACTAAGATAGATAGATAGATAGATAGATAGATAGATAGATAGATAGATAGATAGATAGATAGATAGATAGATAATGAAAAACTGTGATGGAATTTGCATTGATTGTTTTTGATCGAAATCAAAGAAAAAGTTATTCTCCGGATAAAAAAGAAAATACTTTTGAATGGCCTATTCATGGTATCTTCAGGAATTCTCAGCCTCCATTTAAAACTAACATATGTTTGAGTCTTCCTCTTGTGCCTGTTTATATATGTAAACAATCTTGGTAGAAAGGAGCTTCAGAGACATTCCAAACAGCAGGACTCCACTGAAATAAGCAGATTATATTTCTTTGATCTTCTCACCTCGGCTGTCGTCTCGATTGAAATATGATGTCCATAATTATGCCCGTTTTCTTTTGTAGACAGCTGATTGGTCATTTATTGATAGATCTTTCAACAAACCATTGTTTTAGCCAATAGAATTCATTCAAATATTTTCAATACAGAATTTCACAAGTGGGTATAATTTTCCAAGAATCTATACATTTAAATGGCAGAGCAAAAGCGTTGTTGAAAATCTTATAATCCAATTATTTATTTTGGAAAAAATATGCATACGGATAAATAAAGAATTGCATGTCATATGTCATTGAAGATCAGTTCTTTATTTCAATTCTGCAACGCCAGTAAATCAGTTTCGAAGAATTATGGTCCTAACTTATCAGTATTATTCAGAAAACAAAGCCAATTTTTAATTATCTATCTATCTATCTATCTATATATATATCTATATATATATATATATATATATATATATATATATATATATATGGCATTAGTTTTTTATCTATCTATCTATCGCTTTATTATTATTATCTATCTATCTATCTATCTATCTATCTATCACTTTATATTTTTATATATATATATATATATATATATATATATATATATATATATATATATATATATATATATATTAGTTTGTTTGAGTTAAGCATTTTTCTTTCTTTCTATCTATCTATCTCTTTATATATATATATATATATATATATATATATATATATAGACTTATTAGTTTCAGTTAAGTATCTATTTGTTTTCTATCTAATTTTGTCAAACACACACACGGGGGCACACACACATATATATATATATATATATATATATATATATATATATATATATATATATATATATATATATATTTCCTAATATGTTCAGATCTATCTATCTCAATATTTCATTATCTGTCTATCTATGTGTTTTCTTTGTTTTCTCTATGCATCTATCTATCTCTTTATATATACATATATATATATATATATATATATATATATATATATGACATGACTTATTAGTTTCAGTTAAGTATCTTTTGAATATTTTCTTTTCTATCTAATTCTTTTCACATAGACACACACACACACATACATATATATATATATATATATATATATATATATATATATATATATATATATATATATATATATATACTAATATGTTCAGGTCTATCTATCTTAATATTTCAATATCTGTCTATCTAAATTTTTTTTGGGGGGGGGTATAATAAGTTTCGCCTTGTGCAATATTCCGCGCTAGAGGCCACGCGTGAAATAGATTTACGTTAGGAAGCAATTTGTCCGGATAGGATGAAAATGTAACGGTTAATCCTAGACTTGAACAGTTTAAGATTGTAATGATCGGGAAAATCTCTCTCAGTCTCTTCTTATCTACCACTATATATTTCGATGATCTGCGTTAGTTCATAGGCGATAAAGATTTTTCTGCAATATCTGTCTTTTCATCGGTTTTGTTCTAGTGGACGAACCACTTTTTGCGGGGGATAATTAAGTGGAAAATAATTCTTCTCCAACATGGACTTGGACACGCTTTTGAACTCTATCAAGACGCGAAAGTGAGGACTGGCAGTTCCCGCCTAAATATGACATCAGGACTCCAGATATGAAAGCTAGCTGATTGAAATTCACTTTGTATATAATCAATCCTCTTAGATCTTATATTTGTCTATATCTTTCTTTTATATGCAAGCATATATAATTGCAAAGAATATCATTGTATACATAATTTTATATAATATATGTAATTCTATAATTATAATTTGTCATTTTCCTCCGAGAGCTAGTACGACCGTTACACCTTAATAATATGTCATAAATAATGTTCTTTGAAGTTTTGATATCGGGAAAATACGGAAAAGACATATCACAGATACTACTTGGTTTCAGTGAGAGAAAGTTACAAAGAAAGTATGAAAAATGAAGCAAGGGAATATAGATGTGTTTAACGTGTTTCAGTGAAATTAAAAAATGTCAATTTGAAATCTTTTATTTCTACCGTTTACGTGTTAAAATAATGAATAGCATTCATATTTATGATTGTTATTAAAATATTTTTTTAAGTTTGTAAGCTCAAAATGTCTACGATGGGGGATTTTCTATGGATTTATTTTGCAAGGTCGAAAATGTGGGGAGGGGTGATCTGAGGGTGGCCATCACTGTTATCCTATACCTAGCTAATCCGATTCACGACCCATTCACCCGTTACAATTTACCACATTCACCAAAAAATCTGTCCGTCATCAATCAATCATTCATTCACCATAATACCACATACTCTTAGGGAGCCTACAAAAACGCACCCCATCATATGAAAATTTGAATATTCCATGATTTTTTTTCTCCGCAAAAATTAACGAATGATAACAGGTGGGGTGCTGATCAAAAAAAAAACAAACGAAAATATAAAACAAAGAAAAGAAACAAAACTGATGTCAGTTTGACCCGTCCGCTGAAGATGTAAGAAAATGAATCTCTATATATACTGTGATGACGTATTGTAACGATTTAAACTTTTACTTTGTATTGTAACTACGTAAACTATTACTCTGTTTTGTAACGATTTAATATATTACATTGAATTGTAATGATTTAAAATATTACATTCTGTTGTAATGTTTTAAACTATTACTTTCTATTTTAACTATGTAAACTATTACGTTGTTTTGTAACGACTTAAAATATTACTATTACGTTGTATTGTAATGATTTAAACTATTACATTGTATTCTAACGATTTAAACTATTATTTTGTATTGTAACGATTTGAACTATTACGTTGTATTGTAACTATAAAAACTATTACGTTGTATTGTAACAATTTAAACTATTACGATGTATTGTAACTATTTAAACTATTACGTTGTATCGTAATGATTTAAACTATTACGTTATAATGCAACTGTTTAAACTATTAGCTTGTGTTGTAACGATTCAAACTATTAATTTGTATTGTAACGATTTAAACAATTACTTTGTATTGTAATGATTTAGAATATTACGTTGTATTGCAACGATTTAAACTATTACGTTGCATTTTAATTATTTAAACGATTACGTTGTATTCTACTTACACGTCGTGATTATGACAATAAAAATGATAACAACAGTCCGAATATTGATAGAATTTTTATCCAATTGTACATATTGAAATTTTAAGTCATGGAGTGTCTTTCAATAGAGACCCTATGTGCGTGAGGTATTTTTGTTTATGTAAGAGCAAATAGTAATGGATATATTCTTATGCTGAATGATTAAATTGTAACGAATGAATTAGTCGTGAATCTGATTAACGTAGTATAAGATAATGTCGACCAGCCTTGACCAATCTCCCCATTTTGGGGGCCTTGTGCCATAATTATTGTATTTAATCAGTATTAAATTCTAGACATCGGTGATCTTCAGCATTTTTGTCAGCACAAGACCAGGATGTTTTGGGAAAACTAATAAGAGATATTTACAACGTTGCTGAAGATGAATAATCTCTAGGATTTACGTGGTGTCTTCTAATTAAAACAGCAATGATAATGTTGATAAATAATACTAATTTATTTGAATATTGTAACTATGTTTAACTGCTCGTTACTATTACAGAAATACTTATGATTGTCTAAGCACAAAAATGTATAGCAAACGGCTTCTGCATACGCTGTAAAAACATTAAATGAATAATATCTCTTTTTCAATATAATACGACATGTTATTTCTTATTTCTATTTATCATTGAAGAATAAGCGGAAAGCTTGTTGCTTGATGTCACATATGTAAAAACATATCATCTTCAAAGAACTAATTCACCCACGGATCATGTTATCTTTCGTTCGGGCCAACAAAGTGAGAAAAGGTATTTCAACCAGCGTCTGTTTCTTTTCTCCGACAATGGAGATTATACAGCGCATTTTACTGATGTCAGGTGGCGACCGACCGAAGCACAGCTGGTGAAGTCATTCGCATTGGCAAATAGTGCTGGATGGATGTTTAAGTAGTCTCTTACGGTGAAGCCCCATTATTGGTCATACTTAATGCCAGTCGAAGCGTCGAACTGCCTGTAATCGCCATTACCGCTTTGCCCCAAGCAAAAACGATATGACGGTGGAAGAAACCGCTTGAGAAAGATGATACGAATGGCGCCTTTTATGTTTTTGTCGTTAAGCTGGAATAAGAGGAGAAAAAAACGAATAGTAACGGGACAAAATGAAAATACTATTTGTATTGTAATTGTATTGTGTTGCGCAGTTTGTTTTTTTTATGACAATATTTACTAGTGGAATTGGAGACACGAGCTAATTACTATTTGTTTGTTTCGGCTTTGCCAAGTGAAGTCTGGTTTATAAGTCTTCATCAATATCAAGCGGGTGAACACAAAAAGAAGAACGAAGTCGAAAAATATAAATTGTGTTAAAAACCAAAAGAAAATGACAACGGCAGATATATAATAAAAACGCTGGGCGTTTGAAAATTGTACGCTGTCGTGAGGATGTTGTGGAATGGGTCGGTGGTAATAGTTAAAGTTGTGTGATCTTCTTACAAGATAGAGTCGGACAATTGGAAGGGACAACATGTCTTGTAAAGACACACGCCTAAATATACTTGTATAAAACTGACATCACAGCTTTGCTTATGGACTTATATGTGTACGGAAATCTAAATAAACAGAATTAATTATTTATAGGCTTACGAAACGTTGCAAGCTTTCCTGTTTTATTTTTTTCAGTAAGTTTCACTTTTTACAAGGCCCGGTGGCCACTCAAGATAGAAGGTTACGCTAAGGGGTAGTTTATATTGATAAGAGTGGAAGATACTTGTTAACTCTAGACTTGAACAGGTTAAGAT